TACCTGTTCAACGACATCCTGTGTGAGTTTTCCAAGCAATGCATGCATGGTTCGAGGACTCAACTCTGTCATTAGTTCATAACAACTGTGACTGCTCTAACTCTGTCCCTCTATTCGTGGAGAGTTTTGCTGCTCCTCATATCGCTCGATCACAAACTGGACTCCTTCCTGACTTACTGCTTCCTTATCAGATTTGTGAGACATATTGTTTCACTTTTTGTATCCTCAAAACGAAACACCAAGGTCCCACGGGGCGTGCCATATTGTTTCGCGCGTGTAGTCGCTAACAATTAAAAAAGGGGTCAGACGATTGCGTGAGGAACAGACCTCTTGAGACAAAGTCCCAAAAATGGGTGTTTTATTGGCGATGATTTACAATTGAAAATAAATAGAATTCCTCCAAGGGGCGCAAGCACACGAGTATTAAAAGAAGTGTTTAAATTTAAGTTAAGAAATTAAAATTACATATTCTCTCTTTGAGAGTGTTTGATTCTGATCCTCTATTCTATGTCTTCTCTTCCTTTTTATATTCCCTTGATGACTTCCTCGTGATAAACCGCTTGAAAACTACTTGATTGTTTTATAACTACCTACTTTTTTTATGGTGGCTAACTTGTCGTAGAACTACCGTCTTTAACTGCTGTCATTACTCTTTGTCGTTCAACCGCCTTCAACTAGGCTCTTTGAATCGTGGAATGTGATAAGATTACTCAATAACTGCTATTCTGGACAACCATAATATTTTATGTTTGTTAAGATCCTGGGCGATTCGAAAGTTTGGGCAAGAACGGGGTCATTGCTATGGGCGACCGTAAGACACTTTATTCGCTCAGATTCTGGGTGTCTTGCAAGCTTGGGCAATGACGTTACTTTGTTCGTGAGGTTCCACTGCATTTATCAATAATCTTGTTTGGACCTTTATCCTGGACCCTCCAATTGAATTTCACTCTTTGAGTTATTTGATTTGGACTGCACATTTAGGATGTCAACATTAGTAACTTTGAATAGATTATAGCATAGAAGTCTTGTTTCTTGAACGAAAACAAAATTCCAGTAAAGTGGAGCTCTTTGATTCCAAATTATTGAGCTTAAAAGTTAAAACCCACAAAAAAATATTACTTTATTGATATAAAATCAATTACACAATTTGGACAATTCTCTCTCTAATTTCATATTCTTACACATATATACTGCCACTCCTCTGCTCACGCTCATACTCGAACAAACAACACACAAATATATAGATGCATTGGACGGGGGGTTGAATCTTCTGGTATGGCGGTGGTTCCTTCTCTAGATTTCGGTGGTCCTCTCCTTCTAGCCAACTCTAGATTTTTCTACAAATGGCGGTAAAATTCAGAGCATCCAGACGCATAGGGTTAACGTAGTGGTGAGAAGAGAAGCAATTTGCAAAAACCGTAGCGGTGAGAGGGGAGTAAGTTTTATTCTTTTTTTTTTTTAATATAAAAAAAACAACCAGAAATTTTTGGCCCAAATGTTTCTCCGCCTCTGCAAGGGATACTCCACACGGGATAAATTCCTACATTACAAATATCAAACTCGTTTTTCAAGTCCTTGTGCAAACTAAGTTGATATTTTGAGAAGTAATTTTGTAAAAATTGATTTTTTAATACGTAGTTAAACATTATGAATAATAAGTTATAAAAAATTGTGAACACTGTTAAAAGTCGTTTTATATTTCCTTTATATTATATTAGTTTACACGGCCTTTAGTGCTAAATATTAATTTTCTTTGGTTGACTTAGTCATACTAGAATCAGTTGCATGTTGGATGGATTATTTACCAAGTCCTTGGTTAGTTAGCATGTTGAACACTTCTTTAGGACTTAATGGGTTCATGTTCCTACTTTTATGTTTGTACCGTTGGTGGAAGCTCTATATGATGGGCTCAGTGATTATAAATCAAGTGTGTGGCAGAAGATAAATAAATGAATGCTAAGCTCCTTTAAAATCTCACTCCCTTATTTGGTTCCTTTTTGCTCTCTGCCATTTACTAACACTGGTTTCAGAGCTGGGTGAAGAAAGGTGAGAATCCAGAAAAATGGAATGTTGACAGTGGGAAGAGAATTAGTGAAATAGAAAGAGTGGTAAGATAAGAAATAGTGCAGCAAAAGAATTTTTTAAGACAAGATTGGTAAGCAATTGTCTTATTTATTTATTTTTTTTGGCTTTGCTTTTGCACCTACAAAACAGTGGCATAAAAGAGTGGAGCAAAAGCAGTTTTATTTTTTTGGAGATAAGATTGGTGAAGCAGTAGCCTTATTTTATTTTGCTTTTCTATTGCAGTAGTAAAACGATGGCAGTTGACACCTTCATTCAACCAGCTATTCCCGCTTTGATGATCACTATGATCATTGAGCATGTTAATGGAGAATTTTCTTAGATCGAAGGAGTACTGGAAAGTTGTCTCCGAAGGGATTAAGAAACCACTAGCTAGCATAATAATGAAGGATGCATAGAGAACGGAGTTAGAAGGGAAGTGGCTAAAAGATCTCAAAGCAAAGAATTATCTTTCCCAAGCAATTGATTGCTCAATCTCAAACCGTTCTAAACATATTTGGGATTCCATGAAGAAGAAGTACTATTACGTATATCCTGCCATTCTACCAGAATTATCTCCCAAAATCATCTCCATATTAGGTGTAACCGAGATTTCCTCCATTGTAATTGTGAAATGCCTTATTTAGATTATATTATTTCTGTACATATATGCATTGTATCCACAATTACCAAATTAATAAAAAGTTTAAACTCATTTAGCACTTTAACATGGTATCAGAGCACACGTTTAGCAATCTTACCTCCCATGGCTGCTCAACCCACTCTTGACATCACCAAAGCAATTACAGATGCCTCCTCTCCATATTTTCTTCACTCCTCCGATCAACCCAGTAATGTGCTTGTTGATACACCATTGAATGGTGATAATTACTCCGCTTGGTGCCGAGCAGTTACTCGGGCTCACAATGCTAAGAATAAGCTGGGGTTCGTTAACGGAACCCTCTCCAAACCCACCGATCGCACTGCTTCAGCTCTCTGGGATCGATGTTGCAACATGATCATGTCATGGCTCCTCCACTCCATAGAAAAGACCCTTGCCAGTAGCCTTGTTTATTGTGCCACCCCGTTTGATCTATGGGCGGAGGGTGCTGCTAGATGTACAGAACGTTTCTTTACAGAGTCTACACAGAATGACGTGGCAGTTGAGGATTATTAAAAAAAAAAAA